ACCACTTCTAACATGCTTTTGGAAGGCTTCATGTTTCATTCCGGCTTATAAGGTTGTTGCATATTATTTTCTCTCGTTCTTTTCTTTTCTTCTTCTTCTTCTCTTTTTTTTTAACTCCTTTTTATCTTCTTCCCTTTATTTTGGAATTATTGAGAAATATTTTGATCGAACCTTTTGGGGGTTGCCTACGTATCATGTCGCCGCATGAATCAGATCGTTACGTAGTTCAGGGACATGTCGATTTTTTTTTTTTTACAAAACAAAGTTTTCCTCTCTTCCTCTTTTTTTTTAATGTACAAAAAACAACATCTTTTTGTTTCATTTTCGAATTTTTCTAAAACAAAATCTTTTTCATTGATTTTCGAATTTTTCTTCTCTTTTTTTTTTGATACAAGACAAAGGAAAATTACATAAAGATACAACCTAAAAGACAAATATTTAAATAAGACCAGACCCGACTCAAAACAAACTTTTAAAAAAAAATAAAAATAAAAAAAATAAAAATAAAAGGCAAAACAACAAGGCTCAAAACACCAAAAGACTTTTACAGTTTCGATGACTACAAATGAATAATCAAAGTGGACTGCCAACTAAAAGAAGACTCTAATCTCTGCATGAGAATCCACCGGCATCATTGTAGTCAAAGTGCTTATTCCTGCGGCTGATCTCCCATATCATGGTATATGCATTTCAAGTCTCTGGCAATGTGGCGTACGAAGTTGGGCGCTACCGTAGCAAATTGCTCTCGGGTCAAACCCTGACAAGTCACACACCCTCGAGCGGTATAAGTAGCCACTTCATAGACCCTCCTTCAAACACGCTCCTGGCTCTGACTTAAAAATTGGATCTGTCGCTCATGGTTATTGGCTATGTCTTATATATCTGCCTCGCGTTGTAACGCTAGATTTAGCTGGTTCTGGACCTTTGCTAGCTCATTCTCTACCCGGTTCTTACCTGATTCTGCAGCCTTGGCCCGAGCCCTTAGATCATGAATGATAAGGCTGTGATGCATTTCTTCGTGCTTTGGAATGGCTGCATGTTGCTGAGCAACAACCCTTATTCTCGTTTGCCGAAGTTGTGCTTGAAGCGCTTGAACCTCATGTGTCAGTCTGATTTTCTCCTCTTCAAACTCAATGCACTGCAAATCCATATTCACGTTGGCGATACTTATATCCTTACGTAGAGCCTGGATGATGGATTCATAATCTCTTGTTATTTCTTCCTTGGCATGCCCTACTCTTGTTCTGATTTTAGTCTCTCATTCTGTCGTGCTCTTCAGAACTGTCTCTTGCCTGGATCTCNTAGACCCTCCTTCTAACATGCTCCTGGCTCTGACTTAAAAACTGGATCTGTCGCTCATGGTTATTGGCTATGTCCGATATATTCGCCTCGCGTTGTAATGCTAGATTTAGCTGGTTCTGGACCTTTGCTAGCTCATTCTCTACCTGGTTCTTACCTGATTCTACAGCCTTGGCCCGAGCCCTTAGATCATGAATGATAAGGCTATGATGCCTTTCTTCGTGCTTTGGAATGGCTGCATGTTGCTGAGCAACAACCCTTATTCTCGTTTGCCGAAGTTGTGCTTGAAGCGCTTGAACCTCATGTGTCAGTCTGATTTTCTCCTCTTCAAACTCAATGCACTGCAAATCCATATTCACGTTGGCGATACTTATATCCTTACGTAGAGACTGGATGATGGATTCATAATCTCTTGTTATTTCTTCCTTGGCATGCCCTACTCTTGTTCTGATTTTAGTCTCTCATTCTGTCGTGCTCTTCAGAACTGTCTCTTGCCTGGATCTCAAAGCATCTTGGTCATAGAACCACTCAAAATATGCCGGGTCTAACTCTCCTCGATCCTGATCTTCCACCATAGTGTGAGATTCAAGCACCTTAATTTTATCCCAAACCTGTTGAGCATAAGCCTCACGAACAAGATCCTCTGATATTACCTCCCATGTGAATCTTTGCATGAGTTCCACTGTGGGCACTACTTGTTTTCGACCTAACTGGCGTAGGGCTCTCATAGGCACATACGGTTGAAAACCCCGAAGACCCATCAAAATCAAAAACGAATGGTGGCAAGATTTGTATATGACTTCTTTTGGTGAGAACCAGTGGTAGTTCCGTGTGATTTCAGTAGCGGTCAACTTTTGAAGATGCCCTCTCCATGCTTCGACTCCCTTGGGGAAGCTACTGTCTTCAGTCAAATCTTCAAACTCATCTCCAAGCTCATTGTGGCTCCAATGAACACTAAAATTTACCCGTGTTGGATGACTGAGAAGGTGCTCTAAAAATCATATTTGGAGTATGATGTTACAGCCTTCAAAGAAATCTTTTCCTTCCTGACACTTGGTCAGGGCACGATAAATATCAGACAATACCATAGGAATGATAGTGACGTCCTTTCGATGCAATAAAGTGGTGACTATGCCAGATAATCGAATATCAATATTTTTGTCATGCCTCGGAAAAACCATTGTCCCTAGAAATGCCACGAGGAATGCTTTCCGCCCATGGCTTTGCCAAGCTTTGTATCCAATTTTATTATCAAGCTCCTTTCCGTGCTTTGAAAATCCACCTGGACACCCATACCTGTCGTACAAGAAATCCAATCGGACGTGCCCTCGTTCCACACTTGCTATTTTATTTTGGCTGATTGTCATCTGCTCAAGGAACTCACTGCCAGTGACATCCCTTGAGGCCAAAGGTCTCTTCTTCCGAAGCTCATCACCTAACCTTGTGTATCCAGCTAACTCCTCCAAAGTGGGAGTCATTTCAAAACCATTAAAACGGAATACGTTGTAATTAGGATCCCAGAAATGCACCAATGCCTCGATTAAGTCCCTCCTTGGGTTGATCTCCATAATGTTCATAAAGTGACCCAGATGGTCCTTTATCTTTTCCTGCCCACAAATGCCCATATTTTCCCACCACTGTCTCAACAACCGGGGTGTTTTATGCACAAGCCAAATCTGTGAGGGCTCGTCATCTTTCGGTCTTTTGTCAGCTCTTCTTTTCATTGTATCCATATCGCTCCTAAGTAGTAGAACATGAGGTTAGGACCGATGCAAGCTTAGATAATACAAAAATCTCTGATGCCTTGGGGTTTGACTCATGAAAGTTAGAAATGGCAATGTGGGACTCAAGTAACCGACCCTAACCGTGTTTTGAAGTGAGGGTTTACTGAAATTGAGCGGACACTCTCGTTGGGAGATGATACAATTTCGAAAGATCATTCAATTGTGACCATAATGGTAAGACTTGACCGATTTGGACGGGGCACCGAACCATAAAAGGGTTGCTTACATATTTTACATAGGGTCAGGAATCGAGTGCGCGTAGTTCGTACAAGAGACAAAACTGGACTACAAAGCCTTCTTACAAAAACGAACCTTTCGCACTTCCAAAGAAGCTTTTGGGGCAGTCACAGCAAAATAGCCGAACATAGGGACAAAATGATAAAAAGTTGATAAAATAAATAAAATGGTTATTTTTACGAAAACGACCCTTCGATACTCCCGAGAGAGGCTTAAAGGTTGTCTCGGCAAATACTACGACCATAGGGACAAAACAATAAAAGGTAGACAACAATAAAGAAAATGGCTATTTTTTCAAAAATGGCCCTTCGGTACTTCCGTTGAAGGTTTTAAGGGTGTCTCGGCAAAACGTCCAGACACGAGGGCCAAACAGTAAAAGGTGACCAAAAATAGCAAATTTGTTTTTTTGAAAATTTTATGCACATGCGTAATTTTTATGCTTTTTTATTTTTTGAAAAATGTGGGCTGAACCCTATGGAGGTTGCCTACGTATTTCACATCCGGTGAGAATCAAACTCACATAGTTTGGTGATAAAATTTCCAATGAAACTAACTATATTTTCTCTCTTTATGAAAAATTAATCATGGACACCAAACGCACCAAATCACTTCGGGCTTTTTTTTTTATATTTTTTTAATAAAAAGAACGAACATTTGTATAGAAATCGGGAGCATGTTTTTATTTTTTTTATTTTTCTCTGCTTATTCAACTAATCTACCCTAAAGTCGGTCGACATGCAAGCCTCCCAAATAAATTAACATGTAGCACATAAGTGAACGTTATGGTCTCAAAGAGGATACCTGTCTTATACGGACCCAGCCCCTGTGCCGAGTTTCGCTAAGTCAAATGCACGTGATGCAAATAAAGCGAACCTACTAGGGATATCCGGCATGAGGTATGTTCTTCTAGGTTTAAATCCTGATGGAGAAGGTGTCTAGACTGGCTTACTCGAGCGGACAACCCGAGCCGTGGAGCGTCAAGCATCACCAGTAGTAGAACAACACTGGCTAGCTAACGACTCTCTCGCCTAAGCATGTGTGACTAAATCATTCACCAGAAGCTGGTAGGCTAACTGGCTTTATCTCAAGACAAAAATTTTGTGATGCCGGTAGGCAAACACAACATAACTAACTATAAGAAGATTCAGAGGGGTGCGAGAGAGGATACAATTTATATGTACAGTTCAACAATATCAAAACAGTATAAAGTGGACAAGTAACAGATTAGGCCCAAATAAATCACAATATATACAAAAATTAATAAAGCCAAATTAAGTCAATATACAAGCTCGAATTCTTAATGTCCCCAGCAGAGTCGCCAGAGTTGTCACACCCCTTTTCTACCCGCAAAATGATATTATGTGGATTAAAGGGTTTTTTCAATTAAAGTGATAAAATTGAGTAGGAATTATTTTATTTACAGAGTCGCCACTTGGAATTGATTTTGTTGGTGTTCCAAGTCGCCTTTTATTTGAATCCCTAATAAAAGGAAGATTTGACTCTATTATTATTGGTCTGCAAAAATAAAGTCCGGGTAAGGAATTCTGTTAACCGGGGAGAAGGTGTAAGGCATTCCCCGAATCCCGTGGTTCTAGCACGGTCGCTTTTATTGACTAAAATTTAGCTTGAATTATTTTTGGATAAAGTGTGTATTATTTGCCTTAAGTTACTATTGTCTAGTGCTGCTTAATAATTAATAATTTTGGCCTAGGAGCGTGCAAGCACACAAAGTCTTTATTTGATTATATGTATTAAAACAAAAAACGTGTCGGTACACATGGTTTAAATACAATTAATATTGAAAAGTCAAGGAGCGGGAATGCACACATGACTACTTTATTAAAAACAATATCGACCAAGGACCGTGTATGAACACATGGTCTACATCTCAAACGTGCCTAAAATTGCCTATCGCTTAAATTAATTAAAAAGCGCTTCTTTTTTATTTATTACTTGTTCGACTGGAAAAAAAATATTATTATTAAAAACAATTTTCACTAATGCAAGACATTAAACCCGGGTAAGCTTATGTTAAACTTTCATGGTATTGGGCCACTTATTTTATTTAACAAAAGATAATTTATTGGTTTTAAAGAAAATGCCCATCTTACTTTCTATTGTCATTGGGCCTACAAATTTTAGCTTATTTGGCCCATGTTGCTTAAGAGCCTCGATGACCAAGACAACACAAAATAACAAGTATTCTTCTAAGCCCAAATTGCTTCTTACATTGATGTCCAAACTAAAAATTATTTTTTTTATAAAAGAAACTTACATGCTAATTATTATCTTTTATCTTCTTAACCAACTATTTCTTAAGGACTAACATAATATTTCTACTCATCTACACCAATCATGGCACGTATCAAACTACACTCATTAACAACATAAAAATCACGACTAAATATAAAAACTACAAAAAAGGTAATACTTCAATGCTAAAGAGAAGAACTATATTAAGTATAACATTATGTTGACTATAATTCAAAGCATCAAAACATTTGAAGCTAGAAGTCTTTCTTAGATAATTATACATGAACCATGAAAGTAACTTACGTAAAAGAGCCTAAACTAAACAAACATGGTTAAAAGTGGAGTCTTTATCTTTTCCTTAAACTAAGTAATCTTAACATAATGCAATTTCAATCACATATATAAAGAATAAAACGATAATTTAACTAATTTTTAACAGATTTACACGATGATAACACTAATATAACATTCATCTTGAAACAAAATCAGATCTAATATGTTCCATCAACCAAACCGGGATCAAATCCTTCTTATTATCATCAAGAATCTGCAATATAAGAATTTGAAAGTTACCTGATTTGTGGAATAATAAAATACAGCAGTGCAGCAACAAAAAAAACTCAGCAGCAAATACAGTAGAAACAACAGCAACTCAAGTGTTAAGACAACCCAGAAAACTCAACAAAGATGCTTGAAACTGGTAGCTATCAACTTCACAAATTGCCTAAGGGATCTTTCTATTTTTCTCAAGGTTTTTGCACTCAAATAATCCTCACAAAACTCTGAAATTTCAGCTTGTTATATGTATTAAGCTGCTGATTTTTCTCAAAGATATATGTCTTTAAGCAACTCTCCAAGATGTGTCTCAGTATAAGATAGAGTGTGTAATAGAGTGTCCCCCTTTTCAGTGAGTAGGCCTCTGCATTCTAAGTGTAAGAGAGTCCCTTTTATAGAAGAAAAGCAACCCTTTCAATAGGCAAATAAAGTTAGATTTTTTGGACATATTTTGGTTCACTAAAAATCTGTCCAAAAGACTGACTTTGTGTGCTAAACACTGTTCAAGGTCTGTCCCAAAGGTGAAAGGACAACCTGAAAATCTGCTGTGTCAGAAGCAAGGAGAAAAAATGTCCTTTCAGCCACCCTACTAGTAAAAGTAAGCTACTATTACCCTATTTTATGATAAAATAAACTAAACTTCAGATTTTAACCATCAACAACAAACTACTTGCTCAACACAAATCAAACTTGGACAACTATGAACTGACAAAGCATAGACGAGACTAAAAACGTAATTGAACTAAGTATTAAAACCAACTTGATGGGAATGAATTGGATTTGTGCAAACTAATTACTAAACAAACAACTAAATTCACAAACTAATGCTCAAAACAGAACGAGCATCGTTAATAATCGAACAACGACTAACAACAACTAAATAATCGACTAACTAAGTGAACGATTTAACTAATACACTAAAGATCATGTTTAAATCAATAACGAATCTAACAAACCACTAAACTAAATAGAGATAGCTAATTAAATAAACCTAACTTGAAACTCTAATTAACAAGAAATAACCAAAACAGAAAAAATAAATAAATAAAAATAAAAAATAAAAAAAATCAGAAACTAATCTACTAAATAAAAAAAAATCAGAAATTAATTAAAGAGATGACGATTATACCTAACAAGTATGCTTGAAGCCGTTCGAGCCACAAGAAGACGCCGAAGATGCTAAAAGGCGACTACCCGACTCCAAAACGCATGTTTCTTTCGGGTAGATGCTAGAACGAAATGCGTTTCAGCATCTTGCCAAAAGAAACGAGTGTCTTTGAGTCGAAAAATAGCTAAGATGGGGGTTCGGGGCATTTTGGCGGTGGTGAGACGGTGGAGCCGTGTCGGCAGCGAGGAGCGGGCCGGCGGCGACGAGGATTTTGGGGGTGAAATGGGTAGGAAAAGATAGGTCTCGTGGAGCTCTATCCATTCATGTATGTGTTGTAGGGTGGTATTGGCCGGAGCTTCAAGAATTTGGACCAAAAAGTGACGGCTAAAGTTTCTTAGATCTAAAATTCATGGAGTTTGAGGGTTTTTTGAAGGAATTGGTTTGGAGATATTGGAAGAGGAGGTCGTGGAGATTATATGGTGTTAATTTGGAGGTGTTTGGAGGTGGTTCGCCGCCGGTGGGTGATTTCCGGCGGCGGCGAAGAGAAGAGAGAGAAGAGAGAAAGAGTTATGGGGGAAATGAGAAAATTTTTCAGATTTTTGAGGCTTTAAATACCTCTTGAAAGATCAAATATGGACCATTAGATCAAGGGGTGATCAATGGGTGAGATTTGATCTTGGGTCACTTAATGAAACGACGTAGTTTTGAGGCAAAACTACGTCGTTCCGGACCCTTTCAAAGGCAGCCCCTTATCTTGCACTTTTGGCCACTTTCTCTTTCAAATTTGGCCCAATTTCTTTCTTAATCCTACTTATTAAACTAAATTTACACAAACAAATAAATTAATTAAGTAACTTATTCAAATGATCAATTAACTAGATTAATTCACCAATTGAATAGTTAGTTAATTCCTAAAATGCACAAATAAAGAAAGAACTATTTTTTGGTATTTTTATGATAGGAAATATGCAATCAAAGACACAAAAATTGGGAAATATAATTAAAGCAACAAAACACTAATGACTTTAGGAGGTGTTAAAATAGTACAAAAATTAGGTATTCACAATAATAATAATAATAATCTTAATAATACTAATACTAATAATAATAATTAAGAAAATTTTATTGTTTTTTAGTGCACTTTACTTTCAGTACATAAAATATGATATAAAATGGATATCGAAATGTAATTTAATGCAACTTGTTAGAAATTAGAATATTCATATGGTTTACAAATTGCTATTGGCAATGCCACATATAAAGAATTGGTAAATGTGAATTAAAATTATAAAATACAACTTATAATCGCAATGCCAAATGTGACTAATAAAATTACCGAATCGTAATTACCAAATGAGACTTATAATTAGTAAATGCGACTTATAAATCGTTGCCAAATGTGACTTATAAATCGTATTTATAAATGCGACTTATAAATTACCAAATGCGATTTATAATCACAATTATAAAATGCGACTTATAAAAATGACGGTAAAGACAGTTAAGGTACTTCTTTAATTACATAATTTGGTGTTGTAACTTTTTTGCATGCAATAGAAGCTTAATTTCATAATCATCCGTGAAAATCCGAAATTTAACTGAGGAAACAAAATTGAGTTCATGTACATGCTATATAGTAAAGATTCAGAAGTGGAAACAGATTGTCTACATGTTGTCAAGCTTATTAACAATGATAACATACGATGTCAACCCCTTATGCCTATTATTAAAGACTTCAAGTATTTGTTTGAAATCAACAAGGCTACTATTTACACATATTTGGAGAAGAAGCAAACAACTGTACAGACTTTTTGGCTAACGAAGAATATTACAACCATTAAAAATCTATAATAATCTGGGAGGTTTTGCTCAAGAAAATAGAGTTTCTTCATTTGGTTGAGTCAAACAATGTAGCTTATGCGAGATTTAAGTAATTTATCTAGTCTTTTCAATGTATCAGAAAAAATATAGTATGCAGTTTCCTTAAAGTGTACTAGAATATACAAGTGAAAACAAAACAATGATTTTTCAGTCATGTACTAAATTTTTAGAATTCTATTTTTAGGAATCATAACAATAGATCCACTTCAGAAACAAACAGGTTCAAATTTCAAAAGTTAAAATCCAATTCTTGAGCATAATTTTTTGTCAATTAAGGCATTACAACTCTTGATCAACGTAACTAACCAAATTTAATAGGAAAAAATGTACAAGCTGAGGTGAGGCTCTATTTTCAAGAATCTGCATAATTTTCCCAATGACCCCACTTCACTTTTTTCTTGTAAATTTGCCACTAAATAATGCAAGTCCAAATTCAATGCTCCTATAATAGAGAACAACATCTTTGGGATCCTCACTTATAGAGAAACACCATTAGGTATATCAACAAACAATCGTAAATTTTGAAATGAAGTGAGTGAACTATTTGTAGAGAGCCAGATACAGATATTAGCATATCACATTTTTTAAGTAGTGAAATCTTCTTATTATTCTTCTTTGTACCCTAAAGTGGTAGCACATGTTGTCTTAAAATATATTAACAATACCATGTGATCTTTTGCTAATATCTACCCATATGTTTACCAAATTCACTTACTCTTCTTTATTCACAATCTGATGAATTGAGTGTCTCTATATATAACTCTACTTCTCAAAGCTACCATTGCAAACACTTCAAAATTTTCAATTCACTTTTATTTTTTCAAAATTTCAAAAACAGTCTTTCTACAGAAGATAGAGATAAATTTTGTGTCTCTCCGGACCAGACTGGTAAAATTATATTGTGTCTGTTGTTGTTGTTGTTTTTTTTTGTCGAAGATGGGAAGAGGTTTAATTGGTATAGTTCATGCCAAAGACAAGCTTCGAATTCGAAAATCGATTTCTCATAGAAATGGAAGCATGTTAGCAACAACTAATCAAGTTCCAAAGGGGCATTTTGCAGTGTATGTTGGTGAAACATGTAGGAGATTTGTTGTTCCAATAGCATATTTGAACCAACCATTATTTCAAGATTTGTTACATTGGGCTAAAGAAGAGTTTGGATATAACCATCCAATGGGAGGTCTCACAATTCCATGCAGTGAAGATTACTTCATTAGTCTCACTTCCTTACTAAAGTCATCATAGGCATGACAGTGATTTTATTTTTCTTTTTCTTTTTTTTATGCTTTCTATATTGGGAAATATATAGTGCTGAACGAGAAAAGACTAAGTCAGCTCTCTTCAATTTTGCAACATTGGTTGGTGACTGGGGTCAAGTTAGTTATATATATGTTAGTATGTTTACGTTAGGTCAAATATTTTGTTAGGAATTTTTAGTCTTGTCAGAAATTTATAGGCTTTGTCAAAAATACTGGTGCTAAAAAAACTAATTGCTAGCACCATTTTGTTTTAATGGATGGATTTAATATTTTAAATGGTCATGTTAAAGAAAAATGCAACATTATCAAAAGGCAATTGAAAATATCCCACGAAAGCATAGTGACTTTTCAGTTATAATGTGCATAAGAAAGTGACTTTTCGGTGACAAATAAAAATGCCTTTTTAGTTATAAAACAAAGTAAAATAACTTTCATAATAATTTTTGTTAGTTTAGTGATCCAGAAATCAACTCGACACTTAACTATCAGCGACAAAATCTTCGAAAAGATATGATAGTTCTTATGGGGAAGATCCAGTGGCACATTCTCACATTCAGACATAGCTGAGTCTATGGATCGTAAACAATCCAATTTTTTATCTTCAGATTTGAAACAGAGATCGGTTTGGACTCATTAATTTATGCTTAATTATTGATTATAGATGTGAAAAGGATTAAAGAAAAATGAGCTAAATTCATGTTGGCAACAAGAATATTGCTGAAACTACAATAAGTATTTACTAGTGAAAAAAGTTGTCATGTTTTGAATCATTATTTTGCCAACTTTAATATTACTTAATATAATTTTCTTGCTTCTATCAAAATTAATCAAAAACAGATTTGGAAAATTGCAATCGAGCTTGGTATACCAAATAACATACTAGTTGTGCTTATATAATAGAGGGGAAAATGACATTATATAGTCACTCTCAAAATAATAGTCAAAAATGTATATATATATATATATATATATATATATATATATATA